AAATGACAAGCTTGTGCATTGTTTTTCATTAGATGTGCCTATAGCGTTTTTCAAATAGAAAACAAACATTTGATTGATAACTGATTAGTTGACATCTTGTAACGATTTGTTAGGCAGAAGAGCAAAAACATGGCATCATTTCTCGTCTTGAAATCCTATAAAAAGAAAGACATTTCTTTGGTGTTGCATTTATATTTTTAATAAGGTATTATGCTGCTTAATTACTATTTCCTTCGAGTAATGGTGATATGAATGTCTCAGCTCAAAATAGCCTCTTCTTTTCCATCTCAGGAAGGAAGGCGCAAAATTTATTGGAGATGATCTATTGAGTGGTTAGTTCCCAGCTGTATTTTGAAAGATCTTTTTTGGGTTCCTTAATTCTGGAATAAGGGCTGAAATGGTTAGAGATGGTACCTATTTAGTTTACTTTAACAATTAAACTTACTTATATGTAACTATTCCTTCTTGTTTAGTTAAGTTATTTATACTTAAAAACAAATTCATACCTAGATGGCCGAGACAGGGATAAAGTCAGGACGAGGACAAATTTGTCTTGCTATGCATAAGAAATAAGATTGGATCGTATGTGAGTGAGGGGCAAGAGAAATATTTGTAAGTTGCACTCCTTTCCCTTTATCTCTTCTAGAACCAGAATCATGATTTGCATCTTGGCATGTGTCTATAATGTTGGTAATATCATGGACGATACGTTGGCTATGTGAGATTCATTTTTCTACTTTTCCAGTTCTATAAGCATTGTGCTTTAGCATCTGAGGTTGTCTTAGCTCCCTTGATGGTTTAAGTGAACTGAAAAATCTTGTTCTTGTATTTACTTTCCTCAAAGGTCTTTGCTTGTTGCTATTGTCTGTGTAAAACTTGAAGAGAAAAAGATTATTTGTAATTTTATAACCAGTATTCTTTAGTGTTTGAGGTTGACGTAGTAGATCCACCCTTGATGACTCATGTGAATTAAGAATTTTCTCATTACTAACATGCTGCATTTAACTAATTATTAGTTTATAGTTTACTAGTCCTATTTTGTTAGAGAAATGCTAGTGGTTTATAAGTTTCTCATCAAATATTTGTAGTTCACTATTTCAGTTGGATGATGTTTACTTCACTTGTGGAATAAGAGGATCATCGGGTGGCAGCAATGAAAATCACCAAGCAAATACATAGTGCTTTTTATATGTTTATAAATTGTAAAACCATTTTAGATTTGATAATGTTTAAGTTACATTCTTTTTAATAAAATTTTTGAGTTACCTTACATGAGTTTGTATTAGCTTAGTGTGATAAAGATTTGAACTTCTTATGCTTAGTATTATAGTTATTTGTAATGGAATTTTATTTGTGTTATAGGTTATCTAATAAAATTGTTTTTTCAATGCTATAATCCATTTTTAAAAAAAATAATGAGATCATATAACGGGGGTTATCAAACCCCCCAAAATAATATTTTTAGAATTTTGGGATCATATTGTGGAGGTTATAAATCGTCACTATTTGTCTTCAAAAACCATCACAAATTCAAAAAGATGCCACAATATTGCTCGTGTCAATCATAACTGTGGCATTTTTAAGAAGCGCCACAATTCATTTTGTGGGAGTCAAAAACCGTCACAAATTATCAAAATAACCCCACAAAATAAGCATTTTCTTGTAGTGACTAGGTCACAAGGCATATCGATGTGCTTTAGTCTTTGTCTTCCTAATTAATACTTACTTTTGTTTGTTGCTTTTCTGCAATTGAAAAATTGAAGGTCTATGGTAATTCTTTATCAGAACTTATGAATTATTTTCGCACATAACTTCTTTGTACTCATCCACTAACTTTAATATTATACTTTCCAAATGTATAGTTTACATGTTAGTAGTAGCGAACCATTTATTGAAGTACTACGGAGCAAGAGAATATATACTCCATTCGTTTCAATTTAGATGATGTACTTTAACTTGGTACAAAGTTTAAGAAAAAAAAAAGACTTTTGAAATACGTGGTGCTAAAAGTTTGAGGGGCAAAAACTTAGTGGAGCCATGATATTTTGTGTGGCAATAAAAGATTCTCATAAAGGGTAAAGTGAGTAAAATAAAAAGTTTAAAGTTAAATTGTTTCTAAATATATAAATGTATCATTATTTTTGGAACAGACTAATAAGGAAATTGTGTCATTTAAATTAAAACGGGGGAATAAAAGTTATAAATTAAAGGTAAATTACACGTACACAAGCTTTCATAACAAAATGTTAATTTGATGTACTATATAAACAAGTTGATGTAATTTATTATTGTTATCTTATGAAAGAATTTGTTGATAATGATGGTAAAATTCTTGAAAGAATGAACCATGATAAATCAATCCTTGACTTTTGGAGTGTTAGAGTTTCAATTTACAAGGTATTATGCCAATAATGTTATGTACGTATATGTCAAATTTAATGGATTGAAATTAATTATTCTAATTGTTTTATTTCTTTCTAACTCGGAATGTTTGGACAATCACTATATTTCATTAGTGTACTAATCAATCCAACAATTCAAAAAGCAACATATCTCTAAAATTGGTAAAATTGGTAATGTATGTTTTACCCAGCATAAAGTTAAATTTTACATATTCGACATATTCCCCGGTCTCTGGCACTGCTCAAGTAAGTGAGTGATTCCGTATGAGGACCTCATTCTCGTTTGCCTACTTTCTCTTCACACGGTTCTCAAAGATGAGGAGTATAGGCGGGTAGTACGTACCTCAAGCCCTATGTCACGCACATATATCTAGACGCAAGTGTATAGTAATAATACTATTTGCAGTAGAAGTTATGACTTGCATATATTATCAAGACGTATTAGATGAAATACACTGTATCTAATTACACTGTGATTGTTCATGTTCTTAGGCTTAAATAATATCCGATTGTCTTGACATTCACAAATAATTAATTCCTTATATATTGATCCTCATTGATCACGATCCATAAAAATTTGTACTTTATTCTTTACTTAAAGTTTTATTTAAATAATATTAATTTATAGAACTATGTACTACATGATTCATCATACACATCGAGAAACTAGTAATATAAATAGATAAAAATCCCTTTAAAATTATCCTCAAGTTGAAGCTCATCTAGCGGTCTAGTGTGAATAGGAGACCTTTGTAATGGCAGGAATAATGTATTAGACTAAAAACTTAACGTCAGACAAAATTGCTCAATTTTGAAACGGCTAAATTTGAGCAAATCTAATCATATCATGTCAGAAACAAAATTGCTCCATTCGTTCACTTTAATTGTTTATTATTCTAAAAATAAATTTTTACTTTTACTTGTCATTTTTAACATATTAAGAGAAGATAATATTTTTTTCTTTATACCAATAGTATTAATTACTAATTTCAAATCATTTTCTCAAATTCATTAACAATATGCATAAATTAATATGAGTATCATAATAAATTATATACTTTATTTATTATTTTTTAAAGGATGTACAAAGTTTATAGTGAACAAGTAAAAGTTGACGGATGAAGTATAAGAAAATTAGCTTCATGTTATTTGCTATTAGCAATATTACGATAATTTTAAAAGTTACCCCGACATGATAATTTTAGATTAAGGTGTGTGTTGAGTCAATTAGTCGAACTCTTCCTTCGATGCATAATTAACTACGTATAGTCAGATAGGGTGTGCAACTCTAACAGTTAACTGAATGGTGATGCGGTGATCAGATTAGAACACCTCTTTGGTCGACAGTGCCTCCTTTGAAGTTGTAACGCCCTTGACATCACCACTCTAAAAAATCTGCCCAGTTTCTTTCTTGGGACTTGTGCTGTATTTTTGTCAGAGCCTGCTTTTTCTTGCCTTATTTATAATTAACGAGATACTCGTTCACTTTTACTAATTCCATATTCTAAAAATAAATTTTTAATTTTATTTGTTCACAAAAAATAATTCATTTTCTTTTTTTGCCTTTAGCTTTAATTAATTATTTCAAATTATTTCTTAAATTTATTAAGACTATACACCAATTAATATGAGTATCATGATAAATTATGCACTTTAATTATTATTTTTTAAAGGGTATACAAAATCAATAATGGACAAGTAAAAATGAACAGAAAGAATAATTTTTAAATCTTCAATCTTCAAGATTATGTATGGTTATCTTTGAACAAAAATGTTAAACAGATAAATGGAGATTAAGTTAGCGTACTTTGACTAAATTTGACTACCATAAACAGTCACAGTCAGCAAGCACTCAAGCAGATTTACTTGGTGGGAGTTTGGACATAAAAATTGTAAAGTTTTCAAAAAAAGTAAAAAATTTTTAAGTGAAAATGGGATTTGAAAATTAGAATAGTGTTTGGACATGAATATAATTTTGGATTTTTTTGAAGTTTTATGAGTGATCTGAGTGAAAATTTTGAAAAACAGTTTTTTGGAGTTTTTCGAGTTTTCGAAAAATTTTAAAATTCATTTTCATGTGAAAATTGAAAATTTTATGGCCAAACACTGATTTCGAAAAAAAATAAAAATATTTCGAAAAAAAGTGAGAAAATTCTTATGTCCAAACGGAAACAGACACCCAGTTGCTCACATTTCAGTTACCACCCAGATACTATGAGTTCATAAAGAATGTGATTATCTGTGCGAGACTATAGAGGAATATTTTACCAATAATCTAATGGCTTATATATTACTTTACACAAACAATTGAACAATCAACTAGAGTGTAATCCCAAATTACTTGTGTTTTGGCTATATAAATCTTACGAGTTCAGTTCTATACACTAGATGAATAAAATATATATACACAATGAAGTCACTTATTAGATAATTAAATGTATATAACTTAAATTCAAATCTTATACATACATTCACTCCTTTATGCAAAGTCAATTTAATCCAAAATTAATACAGTACAAACTGCATTAGAAAAATAATCTTAACGAGCATCAAATCTAATAAAATTATACTCCCTCCGATCCATTTTAATTGATTTTTTGGTCTTTTTCTTCCTTTTCATAATATTTGATTTTTTTCAGATATCAAGAAGAAATTAACTTCTTTTTTTTTAAAGTTGATTTTGAAGTAAAGAGCCTAGGAAGATTTGTTATATTTTCAGTTGACAAATTAAGGTTAATATAATTATTTTTATTGTTAATTTATGTTTAAAAGTGAATTCTTTAATATATATAAAAACAGTAAAAAAAATTAAATAAAGTTGATCGGAGTAAGTAACTTTTAACAAGCATTATCAGATTCAATAGGGTGCATGAACAGTAAAAGAAAATTCTGGAGGGTTCAACATTGAAGGCACTTTTATTGAATTTCACGAATTTGAAACAAAGGCCAAACATCCTATTGGCTGCAAGATCAAGCCGCCTTAAGATTCGGTGCTAATCTTTGAGTAATGAATCGCGGATTCACAAAGGCTGACGGCACTGACGCCTATGAATCACAAGCTACTTCCCAAGAAATATAATTTAGCAACAGTTCCCAGAAAATCATTATGCTAAGCTTCAAGTCGAAGCAATATTTTGCAGAAACTTTCAATAAAAAAAAATTGCAGCCGAAATATGAGACTGGCCGATCAGATGCACCGTTAGTTTTGATCTCAGACTGATCTTACATCATAAGACATCTGTTACAGTTCCGATGCAAGCCACTAATGGTTAACTGACACCAAGGTACAACCCATAACTGATGGAACTTGGTCAAGAAAGGTAGTTTAGGTGCGGAGACGGAGCTCATTTCGCTGAAAGAACTCTCTTTATACATTTCTATGTAAATAATATGTCCCAAAAAATATGTACATACATTCCAGGCCGGCGGAACTACAGTAGTAGTAGTTACTGTGTTTAGCTTTTATTTGTATTAAAAACTTAGTAAATATACATAAATATATATTTACGAATACAATATCTAAATCTAGTTATGAGTTCGGTGACAAATCACGGCCCATAAACTCTAAGTTTCGATTCCGCTCTGCATACAGTTGTTGATGAGTTTGGTCTTACAAAATCAGTTGGCTGGAGATACAGATTGTCATTCGTTACTGCTTTATGTATGTAAGAAATATTTTTTAAATAAATTAAGATATGTATATATGGGTGTTAGATCGAACTTAGTAGATCTATTTATTTTATAAAATTCTCGAAATATCTAAATTTTAAATGTAGAGCTCAATTATTAACATTTGACGTCATTCTTGTAGAATTTAGAACCCATAAAGTTTAAATTCTAAATCTGCATTTACTAGTAAATAATGGAGTATAACTCAAATCCGGCCGAAACAAAAAATTAAACATTATAATTAGTTGTGACAAAATGGATAAAAGAAAACAGTTACCCACCCATATTATTCATTAAAAAATTAGTTGGATAATGAACTTTTTAAAAACGGGTTAAATATGAATATCAAACCATATTATCTACTTAGAAACTTGATAACTAATGGTTTAACTTTTATATTTGTAAAACGTCAAATTGGGGGTTCCTCTCCCAAAAGTGATCATATTCAAGAAGCCAAGGATAATATGAATATCCATATGATCCGCCAATTAACCCATTTTTTATCTGTATTAAATATGAATCGAGTCGGATAATTTATTTGTTTTCGCATTATCCATTTTCGATCAGTCCTATATCGGACCCGACCCGTCCCATTTGCCCCTAATTATATTATCATGTTTTCAGATCTAAACTCATTTACGAGGTGAATAGCGATAATACGCCAACTGATTTTGAAGAAAAAGAAGTTTGTATGAAAGTTCGGTGATTTGGCGGTTTGGCGGTTTGGTCTTAAAAAATCAGTTGGCTTTCCCACAACCCATGACCCTCTGCTCCGGATTCCTGGCATTTTGGTCCCAATCTAAACAGACTCATAAATTCTTTCCGCTTTTTCTTTTTTAATTATCCCCAAAATAAAACTTAAAAACAATTTTTATATCCAAAATTTCCATCTATATAAGCTCAAGCATCTTTGCTTACCCCTTCAGCATATTCTCGTTTAGTCTCCCTACAAGTGTAAGTTTTTCCTTTGCAGTTGTCAGCTATGGCTAAAACCATAATAACCACTCTCCTCTTCGCCCTCTTTTCGTCCTTATCCTATGCAATTGACATGTCCATTATAGATTACAAAAATAACCAACACGTTGGTAACATGAAAAAATGGACATGGCAAAATGATGAGGAGGTGAAGGGTATTTACGAACTATGGCTGGCAGAGCATGGGAAAGCATATAATGCTCTGGGAGAGAAGGAAAAAAGATTTGAGATTTTTAAGGATAATTTGAAGTTCATTGAGGAACATAACAATTCTGGGAATCGTACGTACAAGGTAGGATTGAACCAATTTGCTGATCTCACGAACGAGGAGTACCGGACCATGTATTTGGGCACCAGAAGTGACGCTAGGCGCCGCTTTGTTAAGTCCAAAAACCCAAGCCATCGTTACGCTTCTCGGCCCAACGAGCTGATGCCTCATTCTGTGGATTGGAGGAAGAGAGGCGCCGTTGCTCCTATCAAAAATCAAGGGAGTTGCGGTACGTCTTTTTCATTAGTGTTTTTTTAAACTATATTGCAAGTTATCATAGTATGATTATAACGAAAATTATTGTTGTAGATCAACTTAACCTGATAGTGTAAAAAATTTTGTATATTGGACAAAACTTAACTCTAAACCTAAAGTGTTCCAAATTCCATACACGATAATATAAAAATTATTTACAAAATTAAGTAGATAATTATAAAGAATTTTATTTAACAAATATTGATTAGTAGCCTAGATAGTGTAAAACAATTGTTGTTATTGTATATAATTAAAATCTTAACTTTAAATTATATATCGAACATGACATGTTAGAAATAGTTAAATTAGATTAAATCCCTAAATTATTAAACACCAATAGCGTTTCCCAGTTGCATGCTTTAAGCTTTCAAATTCCTAGATAAGCTTCTAAAAATTGAACTTTTGGGATTGCAAAAATGGGTGTGGGGCATGATTAAAGTGCAAAATATACAATTGGTNATATATATATATATATATATATGTATATTATCGATTATTAATTTTGGAAGCGGCTAAAATTATAAATTTCTCATGATTAATTAAACGGATAAAGATGTCCACTTTAGGTGGGTAGGCTAGCTTGCTCTGTATGTTCGGCCGACTGGGCCTATCCAGGTCAACTTTTTGTTCATAGATTGTTTGGGCTGTTACAGGGAGTTGTTGGGCTTTCTCAACAGTGGCAGCAGTCGAAGGCATAAACCAGATTGTAACAGGGGAAATGATCACACTATCCGAACAAGAACTTGTAGATTGCGACAGAGTCCAAAACTCTGGTTGTAATGGTGGCCTTATGGACTATGCCTTTGAGTTCATCATCTCCAACGGTGGCATTGACACTGAAAATCACTACCCTTATTGCGGCGTTGAAGGCAGATGTGATCCTGTTCGGGTTAGTCCATACTACATTTAAAATTCCTGTAAAGGTTTCATAATATGCTATGATTGCTTAGTGAAAAATAAGGGATTCTAATTAATTTTACGTTGTTATGTTACAGAAAAATTATAAGGTTGTTAGCATAGATGGTTACGAAGACGTGCCTAGAAATGAAAGAGCACTTCAGAAAGCTGTCGCACATCAACCTGTTTGCGTAGCAATTGAAGCATCTGGCAGGGCTTTTCAGCACTATTCCTCGGTAATAAATAAATAAATGTACCTATATAGTAAAATAATATTCGTTCTAAATCTATTGACTCTAAATTATGAATTTGTCTCCGTTATTAGGGCGTGTTTACGGGAGAATGTGGAGAACAAGTTGACCATGGTGTGGTGGTGGTTGGCTATGATAGTGAAGATGGAGTGGATTATTGGATTGTAAGGAATTCATGGGGTACAAAGTGGGGAGAAAATGGCTATGTCAAAATGGAGCGTAATGTAAAGAAGAGTCACTTAGGCAAATGTGGAATTATGACGGAGGCTTCTTATCCCACTAAGGATAGCGGCATAAATAAACGTACTACTTCAAACGAAGAAAAGATTAGCAGTATCTGAACAACTCTGATCCTCTCAGCTGTCTTGCGTAGCGGGATTTCATAGCTAGCTATGTGATGTGTTATGATGTTTGTTGTAGTTGATTATTAAATATTGTAAATATTTCCAATTTCAGGGGGCATTGTACTCGCAAGAACAATAGTTGGGTATTTGTTGCAAATGCATTTCTGTTGTTGTTTTGTTTAATGAAAGTATCTTTGATTTTGTCTGTTGACTAATTAGAACGTGGACGAATATGGGATTTTAAAAGAGAGATTTGCATGCCTTTCTCTTTGTTTTTAATTTATAAAATGAAATCCATTTTTAACGCAGAAAATACTTACATAATATTTTTATTGATATTTGATTAACTTCACCAACATCATCAAGCACGAAATAAGGTGACCGGTTGACCACGTAAATGACCAACTACATTAAAATTTGATTATTTACTTCCCCTTCAAAAAATTAAAAATAAATCAAAGTAATTCATTTCAGGTAGGACAAAAAATGTCTAAAAATTCCCCTTTCTTCTGTATTATAGCTCAATATTGTCATTTAAATTTAGATGTTTCGGTTCCATTTTCCAAATAGGAAGAAGTGTCAATTTTATGGGAGCCTAAAACTTTTTCCTCCAAATATCCCAAGAAAAATTAGCTAAACATGGAATATTTAAAAAAATTAAATATTGTTAATATGTTGTCTTTCCTAGAAAGGAAAAAAAAATCCAAGTATGGTAAGAAAATCAAGGCTCACTCATTAAATAATCAATACTCCTCAAGAATTTCTCT